ATATATATATATATATATATATATTAAGTACCGACTGTGTGCCAACATATACTATTCAGCTGAACAAACATTGTTTGGCTGATAAATTATTGTGTTTTTGTTACATTTATGCCTGTAGTCCTGATGACTACAAATGCGCCGACATCGTCCCAACTACCAAGTCAAGCCTTCTCGAGTAATTTAGAATGATCTCCGACCAATCTCACTTATTTCGGTTGGGATCAGATTAAAGACTGGATTAATCATCAGGATCGACTAAGTTGTATGCATTGTATTTCGAATGCAGAAGCGCTAATCTCCTCACTCCATGGTAGGTTCGAAAAAAGTCACAAACGCGAAAAAAAAAACGAGTCATATTTTTTAACTTTTCTAAAGCAAGTGACCTTACGGATCACAATAAATTGATAATTAAACTGAAAGGTTTTGGGGTCGGTGCCAGACTAGTTTAATGGATCCAATATTATCTTCTAAATAGAAGACATTGTGTTAAAGTTAATAAATCTGTCTACCGAAATGAGTATTAGCTTTTAAATGTCACCTACCCAGTTCCAAAGTGTATCGTCACATAATATAGAAATTGAGCGTGTTTCATTTTTTAAAGTATTAGGAATCCATATTGATAGATCATTAAACTGGCAGACCAATGGTAACTATCTTGTTAAAAAATGCTGTCCTAGACAGGGGCGTAGCCAGGATTTTGAAAGGGGGGGGGGAGCCGTTATGCCAATTACGTAGGACCCCGGCGGGGTCAAGGAGGCGAATCCCCCTGTGAAGTAGCGCACTCTGAATGTTCTTAGGACTGTTTGAGAGGATAAATTGAAAATTGCAATAGACGCATTATAAATATGCGCAAAAATAATTATATAATAAATTAACAGTGGCAGATCCAGGAATTCGAAAGAGAGGTGAACCAGGGAGGGACTTTCACAAACCGAGGAACCACCCACCTCAGCCCCACCATGGTTGGGGCTGAGGTAAGAAAATTTATTACTAGGGCATCTCTAGATGGCTGGAAATTACACTCTCGCACTTCAATTTGAATGTATTTTTCTTTTTTATTTTTCGTTAAAAAATGAAGGGGGGGGGGCTTAAATCAACCTCTGCTCAAAACATTCTTTATCCACTGTCTCCATCCATTAGTCAAAATGAAGTGCCAAAAAAAATTCTCATGATCTTTTATCAGGGATTTTTGACAACCATAGAGAAGATCTTATTAATGTGTGTGTGTATACCATAGAAAACAAAGCTTAAAAACATTGTCTTTGAGTATGTACTTTACATAGGCCTACTTCAAAAACGTGATTTCACAACCACCTCAGCCCCACCATGGCTGGGGCTGAGGTGAGAAAATTTGAGGAAATGGTACCTCTCGAGATGGCCAGAAATGACACTTTTACATAGTAAAATTCATCATCATCATATTACCATTATAGTCAAAATGAAACGCCAAAAAATTTCTCATGATCTTTTATCAGGGATCTACTTAATATCCAGGATAACTTAGGCTTAATTATAGCTTACTAAGCTTCAACTATATATACTATTATAGTATATATAGTATATTATTATTATAGTATATAATAGTATGATCAACAAATCACAACTTTTTTTCGCATTTAGCACAATTTTCTTCACTTTTTATTGCTATTAATATTATTATCAGTTATTACTCTCGTCATCATCATCATTGTTATTATTATCATTATTACTATTAGTAGTAGTATTATTAAACAAACATTAAAATAAAATTGCAAAAGGATAAAAACGAAATTGAACCACAGTATCGCATTTCTATCTGAAAAGACCTGGCCTGAGATTTATGGATTTAACATTTTTTTAATCACGCTTAGGCCTATGTGTTCTATTAGGCCTGTATAACGTGTACCGTACTGATGCATATTTACATGTTTAGAAGTATTCATTTTGAGTGATCCCAGGAAAGAATTTGTATTGGCTCAAGAATAAGCTTTAAAATTTTAACACTGTGTACAAAGGGGGGGGGGGGAGCCGCGGCTCCCACAGATACTTTCTCAACCAACTCTGGTGATCAAGCCTTAATACGAATGATTTTTTTCAATGCCATGATCAGACCAGTGTTGGAATATTAATGTATTGGTTGGGGGACCTTATTTGACAAAGAAACAAAGTTCAGACCTTAAATCAATTGAAAGGAGGGCATTAAGCGTCGTGTCACCTAGCATACCCTATGAAACAGCCCTCAACTTGCACACTATTCCAATAGGCCTACTTGCTGATCGTCAGCCCACAAAAAAAATTACAATCTCAGAAACAATCGTGAATTTCTACTTCCTGAAGTGAACACAGAAAGTTGGAGTATTTCAAAGATGTTAATACTTATTGTTATGTATTGTTGTTATATATAATATGATCTATCTATATTTAAAAATTGAGTAAGGCCTTATGTTTATGCCGATTTACCGTTCAGACGCTTGCACAGCTCTGGAAGAAATGTATCGTAGCACCATTCTTTTAAATGTCTTATTATTACTGGCATATTTTGAGCTCCTATTTATATCTTTTAAAGTATCATAAAAAAAAAACAATTTTACGAATCTACAAAATATTGGACGAGGATTGTAACGCTACAAAAGCAACACATGTGAGAATTCATTATTCAAATTACATTAGTACAGTACAGCGAAAGGAGCAACAGATTATAGGTAAGTGGAACGTACCACTTCAGTATTCGCGGCTGATACAAATACGTATAGGCCTATGTTCACTAAATAATGGAATAAAAATATAGAATCCTGACCATGTTAATGACTAAAATAAGTCGATATACGAATACGAATAAGGAATGTCTACACCCATCAAATTTTAGCATGTACTGTATAATCCATTGTTACCATATTCTTTACCAGTATGCCTATCTTACATTCTTTAACATATAAACAAAATGATTATTGGCTCATGTATTTATTTATTGTTCCACGCGAAGCCTCACTGCTGTTCTTGTTCTTGTTCTTGTTACCAAAACTTTAAAAAAATTAAAAGCGTCAAGCGTCGCCAGTTTTGAACGGACGTGCATGAAATTGTGTACACATTAACTAGAGGTGATTTTCAACAAACGTTCATTGCCCTTTTTTAATCTTGTCTCCAGGGTCCCCCTACACTACAAAACAAAACAGGCTTTCAAAGTTTTAAATCGTCAAGCGTCGAAGGTTTTGAACGGACGTGCAGGAAACTTTGTTTGTACACATAAACTAGAGATGATTTCCAACAAACGTTTATCGCCTTTTTTAAGTTGGACCCGAGGGTTCTCTCTACACCTACAAAACCAAACGTATTTATTTATTTTTTTTATTTTGTCAAACAGTTCATCCATGTTCATTAAAAATGAAAATTAACACCGACGCGCGATTCGAACTCCAGACCTTCGGTTAAGGATGTGTTCAAAATAACTTAAGGTCGTGAGTTGGAAACGTGTCCTGGTAATCATTTTTTTTTAAATTATTATTTTAAGTATTTTAACTATGTACAAATGATCATTCTAAATGGGTTTTTTCTTGTACAAATAAACATTATAATTATTTAAAATTTACTGTACGTTATTGCCATTTTCACTAATAGGGCACCTCGCATGAATAGCGCGGTCGGCTAGGGATGTGTTCTAAAGAACTGAAGGTCGTGAGTTCGAAACGCGTCTTGGTATTTATTTTTTATTTCCAATTTATTTATTTTAATTTTGTACAAATTATCATTCTCAATATTTTTTTGTACAAATAAACATTCTAATTATTTAAAAACTTCTATCTATTAGCTCTTCCAAAATACCCCAATATGATAACTTGCGCCTGTACTTCACAGAAGGATTATTTTCTGGGCAGATTCATAGGGGGCGATGTCGTCGACGTCCAGTCCTCCCATCACCCTTAACATGTTAGAGCAGGGGCGGCTTTAGGGAAAAGAAAAAATTTATCGCCCAAAACGCCTCAGAGGTTATTTTCGTCTGGAAAACAAAAAAAAAGGGTTGGTGTTATCTCGATCGGCCTTACTTTCGGCCTCCTTTCGTGTAAGAAAGTGTAAATAGTCAGCAGCTATTTTCTTCTTTAGGGATGGGGAGGGTCATTCATGAGAATAATTGTTGGCTTTTAAATCGCTTAAACGATCCTCAAATCATTTAAAGTCAGACTCCGGAAGAAAATGTTTTGATAAATTGATTTTTCTAAGACAGACAAAATTTTGTTTGAAGAAAAAATGGGTAACGGTAAATGAGATACAGATTTTTACATATTTAAAAACTAGGGGGAAATGTGTAAAAATCAGTTTTACAACATATCAACATGTTTTTCCCTCTGGAGCCTGATTTTAAACTTACTGTATTTCATTCATTCTTTCATTAAACTTATTTTATTCAGCTTGCAAATAATTTGGGCCCATACATCACAGCATCGCAAAAGGCCGCCGAAGGCGGCCTTTTCGCGAGTTGCAAGAGACCTGTATTGAGTATTGAGCTTCATTGTTCGTTAGTTGAGAGTACTCTAGCTGAAATAGTCCTACCCAGGTGCCTGTGCCAATCACCAAAAGAAAGTTAGTGCTGTTAAGAAGACTAACAATACATAAGTAAGCATAAGAATCGAGGTCAAAATGACAGAAGGAAAATAACATTCGGTCGAGAGATGTGATTATGTTAGTTCTCATACAGGAAACAATATTTCGCACAGAAAGGAAGACTAAGCCATCTTACCACTGGCAACAGTCCCACCAATGCAAAAACATACAGATGTCATATACATTACCATAGTGTTTTTTGGAGTTTTTTGTTCTCTATCTCTTGTAGGAGTTTCACCCACTTTTATTTCATTTCTCTTTTTTCATTTTCTTAACATTGTCTACACGTAACACAATGAAATATAATAACAATTAACAGACATAACTGACATCAAGCAAAATAATATACAGTAATCGGGTTTAACATTATTTTCATTATGATACTATTAAATAGATTTGTTTTTGTTTATTAAATATTTGCACTTTTCTTTTCCTTATTTGCTGTTTTTCCTCTCTTAAACAATCAATTCATTAAAAACTTAAATTAAAATTCAAATCACTAAATCAAACAATTCATCAATCAATCAATTACCATCTCATGGTATTGTATAATATGCAATGAACAATCGATTGATAACATTTAATATATTTTTTTTATATAAAACTTAAATAATGATATTAAAATTTGCTTAAATATTTTATACTTTTTCTCCATTAACTGCTGTTTTTTTTTCTCTTAAAATCAATCAATCAATCCATTAAAAAAAAAACAATCAATCCTATCATGTAGTTTGGAAGTTGATTTCGACAGTAGAAAACATAGCCACATGAAGTCGTATTATAGTAACTCGATGCCTATCAAATAAGTAATAAAAATTCGGCATAATTCTTTAAATATCCGTGGCTTCCATGGACTTATCCCCCTGGACCCCACCGGGGCCGTGACGGCCCCCTAGCCCCAACCAAGTGAGACTCGATTCGCTCCACCCCCCCCCCCTCGGGGCCTTTAGCCCCTCCGTCGGGCAGGTCCTGGCGCCATCACTGCTAGGGTGGATATGATGGCTTATCTTAGTAAATATTTTGTCTTTGAAATAAACAGCTTAATGAGGGTGGCAATTCTTGCATAAAGCATGGAGGAAATGTAATATATTTCCTCCATGCAGGGAGTATTATCAATTATTATTTGTTATTAATTACCAATTATAATTGTTTAATAATCATTGTTAATTATTATGAAATATTGATTATGAAATTACTATAATTAATAAATTTATTGGTACTACTGTTCAGTAACTTTCGTATTCTCTAGAGAAACAAAGTTGTGGTAAGTCTTAGAAGCATTTGGTTTTCTGAAAGTAGGATTTTGGAAGAGGCTTCTGCTTACAACTAGCTAGTGCTACTACATTAATAATAATAATAATAATAATAATAATAATAATAATAATAATAATAATAATAATAATAATAATAATAATAATAATAATAATAATAATAATAATAATAATAACAAAAATAATAATAATAATAATAATAGATGGATTTATATAGCGCAGATAAACGAGGTCTCTATGAGCTCGGGACTAGATGTTGAACTTTTCAATAACTTTCTCCTCCCTGAGGGTCACTTTATGTCCACAGCAGCCAGTAAACTACAGGGTAGTTATTCCAACTGGTGCAATTGTTTTTATACCCCCTTGGTAAGGTTATATATAATAAAAATAAAATAAAATGATAAATGCCCAAGTAATAAAAAATAGAAAAAAAAAACGTTTAAAAAATGGGCCTGGGGCCCAGGCAGAGCTTGCCACGCCTACACCTAATTACTGTACCATGCCTACACAGTATATTTTACTAGGCCTAATAGTAATACTATGAAATCAAAAACTATTAATTGGAAACAGTTAAATTACAACTGTTCCCTTGGCCTAGTAAGTAAGTAACTTTATTGCTTCTTTTTTATAACAGAGGCACAACCGTAAAGATGTGCAACAATAACAAAATCAGTAAAAACTTAATTACTGTGATAAAATATAGTAAGAAAATACTGCGGTAGAACGAAATATATATAAAAAGGGTTTACAAAAATAGTTTTAGAGATAAAAATAAATACTAATACTAATAATATAAGTAAGTAGGTTAATACATACACTTATACACACACCCACACCCCCATACATATACACATACACACATACATATATATACATATATATACATATATACATATATATATATATATATATAATATATATATATATATATATATATATATACATACCCATTATTAACAAAAATAAACTCCAGGTTAGCAAAATATCTTGAATATTGTGTCACATACACAACTTTAGGGTAGTCCTTTAAAAACTATTATTAGAAACCTCATTAACCACACAATGCAAATGATATTGGGTGAAAAAATTTCTATAGCGCAAACAGAAGAAATTAATAAGTCCATATGGGCATTATCATCATAAAATGAATATTTTTTTTTTTAAGGAAACAAATATTGAACGAAGATTAAACCTAACAAAAAAAAAGTGTATCTTAGCTTATATTACAGGATTTTTATACATGAAATTTTATTAGGTGCTTGTATTTCAATCTTGTAATCATGTTTGTCATTGCTTTCTAATGTTTTTATTGAAGAAATAAATGATATGATATGTATGATATATCTCTTTTACAATAGCTAATCCTCTTAACTATAACAGACAGTAGATCCAACAATCAAAAAACTTCTGATAACTCTTACAAAGAATATATTTGGAATCTCTAAATGTTATTGTTCCTTACATTATGCACTATATATTTTAGATGTGGATCTGTTGTGTCTGTATGAGCAGCCATGTGGTGAGCCTATTGGTTGCAGATGCGATGACAACTGTCTGATTTATGGCGACTGCTGTAAAGACAAATTCGATTCGTTCAACGAAACACAGCTTTCCGGAATAAAAGTTTCTACCGCCACGTGCATTGATATATCTTCAGTGCCTTACTACATCATCCAGACTTGCTCTTTATCGTGGCCTGACGATCGCGTGAGAGACCTTTGCGAACAAGTTGATAATGCCCACGACATATTCAAAAACTTACCTGTATATGACACGGATGGTAATCACTATAAGAACGTGTTTTGTGCTTCTTGCAATAAAATTCAAATCGACGACATGACAGCATGGCTGGTGATACAACCGGAAACTGCATTATCATACATCGCAGAGGCTGAAATTAACTTATGGTATAGTGTGCCTTCCGATTTAGCCGAATATTTGCAACCAAGAAGATGTATTGATATGGGAATTGCTAATTGTGATTATGTCAACTTAGGTGAATTAGGAAAGAAATGCCCAGGATATTACGCACCTGTTAATGATGTGAACAGTTATTCACCTACTGTGTATAAAAACCCCGAATGTGCCGTTTGCAATGGATTTGAGCTTGATGATATTAAAGATTGTTCATCTGGCAGTGGAGATGTTGACTATAGTGCTTCTATGTCACTTGGCAATTCATATGAAGCGCCTGATATAGCACCAGCTGAAGACTTCCCCGATTTTAGACCATTGACAGTACTGTTTGCAACCTCTTATTTTGACATTCAAACAGTTGAAATAGACAATTTGTGTAAAGATGGTCAAGTTTTCGATCCTTTTAAAAAAGTGTGCATCGTTCTGTACTGTTCTGACGGATATAAGCTTGTAGATAACCAATGCATCTTGTCCATCTGTAGTATATGGTTGCTCCAATTCAATGTAATTACTAAAGAAAATCGAGATATTAAAGACAACAATAGTGCTTTGACATGTCTTCTTCAGAACCTTCAAAATGGTGTTTCAAATGTGTTTCCATTACAAGCCTCGTATTCTGAGTTTAACGATCAATTTCAAATTCAATTCGAAATACGGGTCAATATAGATTACTTGGACTTGAGTAATTATCTCTCAGATTTATTTCATCCCAATACTGAAGAAAACCAGTCAAATTATATGCCCTGCAATGTGACTTCATTGACAGTTGATCAATTCTGTGAATATTCTATAAATCTGGAAAATTGCAGCACAGATGGTATTGATGTCGACGGCAATGTTTTCCCAAAAAATACCATTAACCATACTATGATTTACATTAACGAGTCACAGTCATTTTTTTCACCGTATGTCTCTCTGTTTCGACATCAATATATACAAGACGGCAATGGTTACAATTCAACCACTCAACTGTTTCTATGTTCACAAAACACTGTCTTCAGCTTAACCTGTCCGTTCATACTTGATGAGATACATAATTATGTGATAGTTAATGGAAGTTTAGAACACATTAAGTCGGGAAAGGTCTATGGACCAAACTCTTACGAACTTACAGACAACCAAACTGTCAAAATTTGTTCCACATTCAAACAAAGAGGAACATCTGTTAATTATTTTGTTCTGTACAACGTGTCCCAAACTTTGCTGAGTGTTATTGGATGCATTCTGTCCCTTGTCGCTCTCGTATTAACTTTCCTCGTTTATTGTTTGTTGTCCCCTCTGAGGACCTTGCCGGGAAAGTCAGTCATGAGTCTTACAGTTGCATTATTTTGTGCCCAATTTCTTCTCACTTTTGGAGCAGGCCGAACTAAGATTACTGCTGCCTGTAAAGTAATAGCAATAACTATGCATTTCTTTTGGTTGGCTTCATTTGTCTGGATGACCGTTTTAGCCTATGATATCAGCAAAACGTTCAAAAGCAAAGCCTGTGATCGAAGTAAGGGTGACAAACGGAAAACTTTTATGAAGTATTCTACTGTAGCATGGGGTTCATCCTTTGTTATAGTCGCAATATGTGTGACATTGTCGATGACAGTTGAAAGTCTTGACTTCGGGTACGGAACTGCTTCTGTCTGTTGGATTAGTGACCCTGTAATCAGCCTCGTCATATTTGGTGGTCCCGTTGCATTCACTCTTTTCTTGAATGCAATTTACTTTGGATTGACTGTGCATGGTGTCAGAGAGACTATGAAGTCTTCAAAGATTTTGCAACGTAACACATCAAAACTCAAGTCTACCCGGTCAGAACTGAAAATCTATTTTAAGGTTAGTCTATTTGCTGTAGTGTAATGGAGTCATGTTTCTAATAATTAATCACACAATTTAGACTTTTATGGTCAGTGGTTGAAATCTATTATTTTACAGGTTTTCAAAAATATTATCATTATTATTAGTAGTAGTATTTATATTAATTTTCAATAGTATATGCATTTATATTATTATTATTATTATTATTACTGTCATTATTTTTACATTTTGTAGTTGACTAAATTTTAGGTGACAGTACATCCCTAAATCTCGTTTAAACCAAACTGTTTCCCTTTTTTCGGTTATATGAGAATTTATTTTGCTACTTTTTATATTCACTTTTTTCACTGTTTATTTATTTAGCAGACTTATTAATTTCGCTTAAGATATTATTCACCTGATTTGTTTGTTATTAATTTTGTGTGTAGAAAAATACATTACACAAACAAAAACAAACAAATTTACAGTAAGTTTTGATGCACTTAATTTATACCTAATAGACATTTTTATAATAGTTATAATATTTCTTATTTCAGATAAGTTCTATAATGGGTTTCTCTTGGATCTTTGGATTTATAGCAAATTTTACGGGCATCGGATTTCTCTGGTACATTTTCATCGTTCTTTGTACACTACAGGGCGTTTTCATATTCGTATCGTTTGTGTGCAATGCTCGTGTGTATGGTCTTTTGAAAGAAAGGTACCAAGCGCATCGACCTAGTAGTAAAAATATAACAATGACGAAGATGTCAACAGAAAAGTAGTTCTGGTATAATATGACAATATTATATAGGTATTATCAATCAGTAGAAGAAATATTTTATTTTTTACTTACTTGGTATTTGTAATTCCATATCAGGAATATCTGGCTGTCATTGAGTGATAAACTACTGGTAGACCAATAATTACAAAAAAAGAAAACCCATGTTATAGCCATTTTGATAGAAACCATTTTATCGGTCATTATGGCAGTCATCTTAGATTTCAAAATAGCCACCTTATAAAAACCTATGTTTGTCCACGGTATATCTCCTCTTTTAACTTATAGAATTATAATTCTAGTGTCTAAATTTATTTATATGCTTAAGGAATACAAGCATGCCATTTTTGACCCGGTCAGATTGTTCATTTAAGGTCATTCATTGGAGGTCATTAAATGAATAATCTGACCAATCTGATTCAGTTAAGGTCATTCAAGATCATTTCAGGTCAAATTTTGTATAGCATCTGAATAATTACCTAACTGCATGTTTTACATCAAAATCATACTAAAGCTCCCGAAATTCTTTTTTTTTCTATTTTTTGTACTAGGAACTACAGTATTTCATTCATGGTCGTTTTGGCGTCCATCTTTAATTTCAAAACGGCTACCGTGCAAAACCAATATTTATTAGTTAGCTTTTAGAACCACTTCAAATTAGAATTCTGATGCTTAAAACTGTTTTAACGGTCAAGAAAATATACCATGTGTGACATGATCAGATGGTCATCAGGATAATATAAGCCTATATGTCAGTTAAGATCATTGATCGTCATTTTATGTTAAATAACGTATGATATCCTATCTCATCACAGGTCGTTATGACATCCATTTTAGGTCAAGGTGTTTTTACAGCCAAATTAAAGATGGCTACTATGTAACACATGTTTACGGTACATACAGTAATTTTTTACCAGTTGTGACGTAGTCGTAGTCGTATGATTATGGTCATAAATATTTTAATTAAGGTCATTCAATTACGTTTTAGGTCAAATATTTTATGAAATGTTAATAACACCTGACCAATCAGAAAAATGGACAATGGACGCAGAAAGAAACAATCTGTTCTATCATTGAGCAAGATTTTAATAACAGTCATATATATATATATATATATACATTTTAGGTCAAGGTGTTTTTACAGCCAAATTAAAGATAAATCCACATTTTTTGTTTTTTGATAATTCAGTATTTTTAATACAGTACTTTAAGCCTTCTTAAAATCAACACATTTCAAAAATGCGGGCTCTAAAAATCGATGTATAGGATCATATTGTTAAAATTTGAATAATGTTAACTTTCATTAAGAATAATTTGGTGACATTGATTTTGTTTTGCTTGACTAAAAAGACCTGATTTTTTACATATAGGCTTTGGCACTAGATAGCTCTCTCGTATCCTACAAAGTCGGCTGATATTCAAGGCCCTCTTTAAAAAATAAATTAAATAATGTGAAGCTTTTATCAGAGAAGTCTTTTTATGAGGCTTAGGGAGTGGAGTTCTTTTTGTCGTGAGAAAAAGTCCTGTCGTGACAGGAACTGAACCAAGGACCTTGGGATCAGAAGGCAAGCATACACTGAGCTATTCAACTCCACGTAGGCATGATCTAAATGGAATGATCAAAAAGCCTAATCTGCCAAATATAGGCCTATGATCTCAATGGAATGATAAATGAAAAGCCTAATCTGCCGAATGTAGGCCTATGATCTCAATGGAATGATAAAAGAAAAGCCTAATCTGCTAAGTTTAGGCTTATGATCTCAATGGAATGATAAACGAAAAGCCTAATCTGCCGAATGTAGGCCTATGATCTCAATGGAATGATAAACGAAAAGCCTAATCTGCCGAATGTGGCCTATGATCTCAATGGAATGATTATAAACGAAAATCCTAATTTGCCGAATGTAGGCCTATGATCTCAATGGAATGATAAACGAAAAGCCTAATCTGCCGGATGTAGGCCTATGATCTCAATGGAATGATTATAAACGAAAATCCTAATTTGCCGAATGTAGGCCTATGATCTCAATGGAATGATAAACGAAAAGCCTAATCTGCTGGATGTAGGCCTATGATCTCAATGGAATGATAAACGAAAAGCCTAATCTGCCGAATGTAGGCCTATGATCTCAATGGAATGATTATAAACGAAAATCCTAATTTGCCGAATGTAGGCCTATGATCTCAATGGAATGATAAACGAAAAGCCTAATCTGCCGGATGTAGGCCTATGATCTCAATGGGCTGATAAACGAAAAGCCTAATCTGCCGAATGTAGGCCTATGATCTCAATGGAATGATTATAAACGAAAATCCTAATTTGCCGAATGTAGGCCTATGATCTCAATGGAATGATAAATGAAAAGCCTAATCTGCCGGATGTAGGCCTATGATCTCAATGGGCTGATAAACAAAAAGCCTAATCTGCCGAATGTAGGCCTATGATCTCAATGGAATGATAAATGAAAAGCCCAATCTGCCGGATGTAGGCCTATGATCTCAATGGAATGATAAATGAAAAGCCTAATCTGCCGAATGTAGGCCTATGATCTCAATGGAATTATAAACGAAAAGCCTAATCTGCCGAATGTGGCCATGATCTTAATGAAATGATAAATGAAAAGCTTAATCTGCTGAATATGGGCCTATGATCTCAATGGGGAATAAGGCCCCATAAAAAAATTATTAGTTTATCTCCCTATCAAAGAATAAAAACTGATGAGGGAGGGAGGTTTTTTTTTTGTTTTTGTTTTTTTTTTTGCTAATCCCGCCACCAGGTTAACAAGTAAATCAATGGTTATGGACACATATAAAAAGACATAAGAATGAAATTAAATTTATATTTTAAAAAAATATATGCTTTTGTTGTACCAGTAAACATATTTGAAAGAAATCCTGAGTGAAAAAAAAGATGGAAAAACGACCGTTTGAAATATAAATATATGTTAATTTAAAAAAAAAAGAAAATCAGAATTTCCCCAAAAATGATGAGGGAGGGGGTGATAAACTAATTTTTTTTATGGGGCCTAAACGAAAAGCCTATAATCTTCCGAATGTGGGCCGAATATGTACATATCAATGGAATGATAAACGAAAAGCCTATTCTGCCGAATGTACGCCTATCTCAATGGAGGATAAACGAAAAGCCTATAATCTTCCGAATGTGGGCCTATGGTCTCAATGAAATGATATGATAAACGAAAAGCCTAATTTGCCAAAATGTAGGCCTATGATCTTAATGGAATGATAAACGAGAAGCCTAATCTGCCGAATGTAGGCCTATGATCTCAACGGAATGATAAACGAAACAATAAAAGTCAAAGGTATGAGAAGCAGTGGTGGCACCAGAGAGAAGAGGTGTAGTGGTGGGTAGGTCAAGGATGACACGATATTGGACACAAGTAGGCCTAAGGAAGGATATTGGCTACAGAGAGGGTTATAGCCAGCATAACCATAGCTGGCAAGGGGCAGGGTGCGCACACGACAGGGTCAACATTTTCCTCACCACTTAGGCCTACCTAGGTTTAGGTCCTAGGTCCGGTATATATGGTCGTAGCGGCCGCGAGCGAAAGTGGATAAACGGTAATTTGCATGGAGCGCGAAGCTTGCAGTGTCCAATATGTGTTTGTTGGATAACAGGCATCAGAGTGCGACATGAAAACTGTTTTAATCAATTATTCTCTAGCAATCAATTAATGCTGTCTCTTATACACATCTAGATGTACAGAATTCGTTGGATGGTACTTTTAACGGGCCTTCTAATTCTTTAGTGAATGGACATTTAGGCTATGAGCCGATTTTCACGCAAGCTTGAAGAATTTGAGACCTTGGTAATTTGTATGTATAATGTATAATGTTTGTTGTTTTGTTTTGAATTATGGTAGGCGTTTGTTTTATTGTATGGTTTTATGCTGATTCAAAATAAATATTCAAGAGATTCAGGATTTAAACTTTCATTTATTGTCCAAATTAGATATACTCTGAGGCGGCACAAAATTCATTGCTATGTTAAGTACAAAACATGTAGGCCTAAAGTATAAATATAAAATAGTGAACATAACAAAGTAGAATAATAAAATTGTAACGGGTATAGACTATAACTGAAATATACTATAACATACAGAGTCACAACAATGTATATGTCAGATGTTTATTCGGCAATCACCAATTCAAGACTCAGACTGGATAATACAAAAGCAGGCACTTAAATAGAAGAGATCTACAACAATGGATTACCATGTGGGTTTAAGGGATTAACAATATAGAAGTAGGTGTGAAAAGTGTTGCCTACATGGGTGGAAGGGACACAGGATATGGTAAGGTTTATTATTTAAAACTAGACAAAGCAAGACTATGCTAGAACAAAGATTGCATAAAGAAGGTATAATATAATTAAAACAAGTAGACCTTCAGTCTACTGACTAGAATATAATATGATTGTCCAAAATATTACGTGGTAAAAACACACTGATAATGGGTTATAATATATTAATAATACAATAATACAACACAAGTTAAAACATCGAATAAATGTCGATCATTTTTAAAGTCATCAGCAGCGTGCAAATATTATCTCGAAAGTGGAGTGGCTGAGAACTGGTTGATCGTGGAATTCAGTCATGTCTAGCAATTTTTTCCCATCTTTTTAGCACTTGATAAGGAAAAACGCAATTCCATTGAAAAGGAGATTGGGTCTCCAATGTTAATTATTGCTAAAATATTTGTTTAGATTTTTTAACATAATATTTATTAAATTTATAATAATAATAATAATGCCTATACATGCTATTGTAATTAATATTACTGCAAACTGGAAAGTGTACTCCTATATTTTTGAGTCACATTCACACATTTATTAATACATGGATTTTAGTATTGACAGATCCAATGTTTAATCCGTTTGTGTCCTGGAAGAAATATAAAATAAAAGTTAATCAAATATGCACACATAATGTCTAAAGTCCGTAGCAAAATCGGGAAAGCTCATTTCCCACCATTTAGAAATCAACATTTTCCCGGGAAGAACACGAACCTCCCTTTTCTCTTTGGGTTCATTGATTCATTATAATAATTTTCAAGAGTTTTGAAGAAATTAAAAGTAATTAAGACACCTCAGAAGTCGGAAAAGCTCATTTCCCGCCACATGGGAATCAAAATTTTCCCGGGGAGAACCTCTGGACCCCCCCCCTTTTTTTTTTTTCTTTGGAGCTTATCGATTCATTAAAAAAAGAATACGAATGCAACTACTACTTTTTTATGTATACACACATAACAGAAAACAATTTTCGTTTGCTGTCAAATTGTAAAAATTTGAATACAGGGGCGGGTAGAAAAAAGTGGGTTTTTTCGTAAAATCATAGAAACATGGTAAAAACTGTCCGATTGTCATTGTTTTTAACGGAACGATCATATTTTTGTTTTTAAAAAAAATTAAAATAGTAAAATTTCCATATGACACGGATCTGTGTAAAAACCGAAGAAAAAGTGGTTTTCATTTGATCTTTTAAACTTACAAAAAAAAACAAAAAACTTTAAGTTTTCTTTTAGGCCTCATTATTATCATCGCCATTATCATGAGCCGAAAACGATAAAGTGAGAAATAGCAAAATCCCAAAGCTGAATATGTAATTTAAAAAAAAATTGGAATCACCTTTCATCCTAAGGAGATAAAATTGTTTAAAAATAGGCCGGATTGTAGCATAATTTCACTCGTCCACGGTGGAATGATGCTGCTGCTGCGTCAACTGTTCGCCCGAATTCACCAAACCTTCTGTGTCCCTTCGTTTCTCGGGCGGCTTATTGCTGCTGCGTCGATGCGCTCGCTTTTGGCTTCCTCCTCCTCCTACTTCCTCCTCCTACTACTACTCCCTTGTTCATCTTAATTCGTTCTTTGATGCTCTTGAAATAGTCGTTGCAGACGTTAATCGCCTTCTCGTTGCTTTTCGAAAAAGTTTCTTGTGCGTGTCCAGTATGTCATCCAACGTGGATGCATCGGTGACGCGAATGTCGTCGTTCATATTCGGGAACCGGCGTTTAAGCATTTCGGCCAGCTCTCGTATATTGACGTTACCGGCGGACGTAGCGTCGCTTATGAGGTCGTTTACCGCCTTGAAAGAGGCTGCAATATCTACGTCGGTGCAGTGCTCCGTCT